ATCCCTCTTCCTTCTGGAGCTACCTACTCTCCCTGTTGGAATTTGAATTACTGGCTAATTGCCTAACAGTCAGAAGGTCTTCACATACCAGATGCAGAAGTAAGAAAAAGTGTATTTGTTGGAATGTTTCATTGCAAGTAGTAGACTATCCAGGAAGTGTTGGTCATCCAGTAAGGAAAGTTTATCATTTCATGTTTGAAATTCAGGGGTACCATGGTATGTGTGTTGGTTAATTTGGTGATATCATTATGCCACTGTTAAAGAATGATTAATAAAGACAATTTAGATGATACTAACTAATCTTAACATTCATGAACTAGACAGTCTCCTTGCAGAGAACCACAAAATGGGGTGGAAGGCAGAAAGCTTTTTACAGGATAAAGATTAAACAAAGAAAAGACAAACAGAAAATACCTAATTGGTTGGGGCCATATAGTTAATCTTGTTTGGGGTGAGAAGGCTCAGAGTTGGCTTGGTGTTTGGGGACTAGCTGACTGGATACACTCTGTGTCTGGTCAAGTGGAGCCTGTTTATAGGGACACAGAACCTATCTAACTTTGGTTTGCTGACATGGCCTGGGAAGGAGTGGCTCCATCTTGGGCCTAGAAGTTATTTCAACATCATCAAAGACACAAATTCTTTTTTTTTTTTTTTTTGAGAGTTGGTAATTTTATTTTTTTCTTTCTTTTCTTTCTTTTCTTTCTTTCTCTCGTTTTTGATGTAGTGTTCCATGATTCATTGTTTGACACAAATTATTTTTTATCTTTTTTTTTTTTCTATCCTCAGTATATTGACTTCTTCCCGTAGCTTGTCTCTTCATGGTTAAAAAATGGCTGCTGCAGCTCCATACATCATGTTTGCACACATCAAAGTTCAAAAACTAAAGACATTATATCTCTAATTTGTGTCTCTTTTAAGAGTGAAGAACACTTTACTGGGACTCTACATCAGGCTTATTTTTGCTTTCATTGACAGAACTCTATATTATTTCTTTCCTAAACCATTGATCTACCTACCCATATAATCTATGTGCCACACATTGTGTTAATTGATGCTACTATCAATAAAGTTCTCTTCTCTTGCTAACAGCTAGGATTTCAACATCTCTTCCCCATGAGGCAGCTACTGAGCAGATCCAGTATCCAATATCCATAAACATTGGTGTCCAGGAAGAAAATGCATCCTTATCAGAGAATATAGAACTATATCTTCTTTTTTTTTTTTTTTTTTAAAGATTTTATTTATCTATTTGAGAGAGAGAGAATGAGAGAGAGAAAGCACATGAGAGGGGGGAGGGTCAGAGGGAGAAGCAGACTCCCCGCCGAGCAGGGAGCCCGATGCGGGACTCGATCCCGGGACTCCAGGATCATGACCTGAGCCGAAGGCAGTGGCTTAACCAACTGAGCCACCCAGGCGCCCTAGAACTATATCTTCTAAAGAAAATAGCAGTAGTAAACATTTTAGCACTTTTTTTCTAATCTTTCTGCACCTTAACTTTGGCTTTCCAAGTATGGCTAACTGAAACATGGTTTTGTTGCAGTGTTCAAAATAAAATTGAAATTTGCATTCCCACTAGCCTCTGGCAAAGTAAATTGAATTATACTTGAGTTTTCGTAGTCCTAAATGATTATTCTCCCTTCAATAAGTACCCATAGGCATTTGCAGCTGACTGTTTCTTCTCATGAAACAAGTCACTGAGTTTGTGTGGTTGGGTATAAATACACACAAATCAAATGTATCGTTTTAAAAAACATTCTCACTAAAACTTTTAAAGGTTAGTTGGTACCTTCATTCAACACAGTATATTTTCAATAATGATTTTTGTTGGCAAAGCAAGTAAATTAGACTTTTGTTCATTTGGTGCAAGAGGCAACTTTGTTGCTATAATATATACAATTAAACTGAGTTGAGATATACTTTAAATGAAAATTGAAAACAAATTAAGTAATCAGTCAATGTAATGTTTGTAGTTACAGCTCTTGTATATATTTGGATAAGTTAAGGGGGGAAAGAAGGCAATTTGGCATTGCTGGGAATTCTATTTTATTCCAAGGGAGGAAAAAATAGTGAGCTGGCAACATTTCAAATTGGCTGTAAAATATTACAGATAATGATAATTTGTTTTTATATTTATATAAAGCCCTACATCTACTCCCATAGATCGAGTTTAATCATATGCCATCTTACTATCTACTAGTGTTGGAATCAGGCAATCTCAAGTTTAGCTAATGAAATTTATTTATAGGGTTTTTTTGTTGTTGTTAATCTTTCTTATTAATCATGAGCAGGACCTTTTAATTTGACATTGGGAAATGTTTGTATTAATAATAGCAGTTTTTTAGGTCCCAACTTCTTACAATTTGACATTTGTAAAGTTAATGCATATCTTTTCCTCTCTTATTACAAATTATTTCCTTAATTCTATGACTTTGGGATGGTTGCCAGTGACTTACTGCCTCAAAAATGATGATGTTGAGAAAGAGATGGTTATGTTTTATATTTAGCAAGATTTACTAGTGCTGACTTGGGCTTTGCGTTCAGGCAAATGAGTTTACACGAGTCATCTGACGATTCTTGGGTCTCTGCTTAAAGTTTAAATTCAACCATAGAAGGTTATGATACTTTATGAAGCTTAATCCCTGAGCCATTTTTTTCAGAGTTACCTGCATTTGATTTAGATTTTGAATATAGTTCTCATTCAAGTTTTGATGGAAGTATCAGACCCTGCTATACATTGCACCCTGTTTTAATATGGCATTAAACTTCCAAGAGCAATAAATTCCTTTTCTTTCCCCCTTATCTCTTAAAATTATACATTTTTTTTAAAAGCCTCAGGTTTTCCAGTATTTTTCTAACCTATTTTTTGGTCCAACTGTATTAAAAATGTATGGGGAATATCAGTTAAATTTGTTCATTGGGTTTTATCCTGTAAATTAATTTGCTGACTTAGGACACCTTTTGCAACGTATAGATACTGAAAGTGTTTATTTAGTACATATTTTTTCAGGACTGTTGGTCCTGAAATGCAATAGCAGAGCTTACTGGCTTGCATAATGGTGAGGTCTAGGGCACATGCTTCAGGCATGGCTATATCAAGTAGCTCACACAGATTATAATCTTTCTCTTCTCTTTCTCAGTAATCCTTTCCTTTGAGTTGACTTCTTTCTCTTACAAACTCCTTCCTTATTATAGCCATGAGTACTGGCATCTTTACATCCTAGAAATTGCCAGTCCAACAAAAACAAAGATTTTTATTGTGTGTAATCTTAGTAAAGGTAAAATTAAATTCCTTTCCATTCTATAATGATCCTGTCCCTGACCCATATTCTATGGGTAGGGGGTTGGAATGTATCCGTTTTTGACAAGGTGTGGTCCCTAGAGAACTGCCAGCAACATCACCTAAGATTTTGTTAGAAATACATACTCTTGGGGCACCTGTGTGGCTCAGTCATTAAGGGTCTGCATTTGGCTCAGGTCATGGTCCCAGGGTCCTGGGATCGAGCCCCCCATTGGGCTCCCTACTCCGCGGGAAGCCTGCTTCTCACTCTCCCACTCCCCCTGCTTGTGTTCCCTCTCTCGCTGTGTCTCTCTGTCAAATAAATAAAATCCTTAAAAAAAAAAAAAAACACATACTTTCAGATCCGCTCCCATACCTAAAAAACCAAAAGATTCCACTGTGGGGACCAGCCTACTGGGTGATAAGGAGTCCTCCTAGTGATCCTGATGAATGCTCAAGCTTGAGAACCAGTGCAATACACTGATTGGTGGAGATTGGGTCATGTGAGCAAACCTCCCTCCCCATGCCTGTCCCTGCCACAGGGCTTCCCTGTAAGTTGCATCTTACAGCAAGCACATACAAAATAGACCTGAGGAACTGACGCCAGGAAGGAGGAAGAGTAGATGCTCTGCTGGCAAATGGGAGATCTCTGCTACAATGAAATTTCAGCCCAATAGTACTTTTTCTTTGTTTCTAATGGTATTATTTCTCACGACACTATTGACAATGAATTCCACTCCAGAAAACCACTATTGTAAGTAAGCAAATCCACATTCATCCTCCTCTAGGATATAGTATTTTAGTTTTAAATTTCATCTCCAGGTAGGTACATGACCAATATTGAAGGATTTTCAGGGGATGCCTGGGTGGCTCAGTCAGTTAAGCATCTGCCTTCAGCTCAGGTCATGAACCCAGGGTCCTGGGATCAAGCCCCACATTGGGTTCCCTGCTCAGTGGGGAGCTTGCTTCTCTCTCTCCCCCTGCTCCTTCCCCCTTGTGCGCTCTCACTATCTCTCTCTGTCAAATAAATAAATAAGATCTTTAAAACAAAAAGGTTTCTAGACCATATAATTTTTTTTAATCAAATGCTTCCCAATCACTTAGATATAAGTCAGCTACCATTACAGCCTTCAGTAACGAACCTTGTTGATCTAGGTGATAAATAGTAGACTAGACTGAATTTGCTTCAAAAATTCTCATTGACAATGGCAGTGAGGCCTACAGAATTTTAGGGAAGGTAGTCAACATTGCAATATCATTCAAAATAAATTTAAAGCTTTTTTTTTTTTTTTAAAGCAGCTAATAGGGGAGATACATGTAAATTTTCGCATTCTTAAGATTTTTATTTCAGTTTATCATATGACTCCTCTGGGCATTTGTTGAAGATCCAAAGGTCTTTTTACTTATTTTTATTTTTAGCATATTCTTATTTGGCAGGTCTAGGGTAGGAACAGGGGATTTGTATTTTTAATAGTTTCCACAGCGAATTCTTAGAATCAAGCAGGTTTGCCATACTCCATAGTGGTAAGAAGTAAGGATGCTGGGGTAGAATGGTTGGGGTCAAATCTTAGTTGTAGTTCATACTGACTGGGGGGGGAGGGGAATAGTTGCTTAATGTTGTCAAGTCTGAAATGCTGCTGTTATCACTTATATTCCATTCTTTCCCTTTTCTCTCAACTAATCTGCCAGTTACTCCTTCTCATTTCTTATGCTGCAGATAGAGGACATGCAGTGGGGTAAAGGAGTACGGGAGATCCCCCCCTCAGTATGCACACTGCCATGCAAGCCGGGGCAAAGAAAGAAGACACAGAAGGGAACTCCGTGCTGCTGGACCTGTGAGCCTTGCGACGGCTACCAGTACCAGTTTGATGAGATGACATGCCAACATTGCCCCTACGACCAGAGGCCCAATGAAAACCGAACCGGCTGCCAGGATATCCCCATCATCAAACTAGAGTGGCATTCCCCCTGGGCCGTCATCCCTGTCTTCCTAGCAATGTTGGGGATCATCGCCACCATCTTTGTCATGGCCACTTTCATCCGCTACAATGACACGCCCATTGTCCGAGCATCCGGGCGGGAACTGAGCTATGTTCTGTTGACTGGCATCTTTCTTTGCTACATTATCACTTTCCTGATGATAGCCAAACCTGATGTGGCAGTGTGTTCTTTCCGGAGAGTTTTCCTGGGCTTGGGTATGTGCATCAGTTATGCAGCCCTCTTGACAAAAACCAATCGGATTTATCGCATATTTGAGCAGGGCAAGAAATCAGTGACAGCTCCCAGACTCATAAGCCCAACATCACAGCTGGCCATAACTTCCAGTTTAATATCAGTTCAGCTTCTAGGTGTTTTCATTTGGTTTGGTGTTGACCCACCCAACATCATCATAGACTATGATGAACATAAGACAATGAACCCTGAGCAGGCCAGGGGAGTTCTCAAATGTGACATTACAGACCTCCAAATCATTTGCTCCTTGGGATATAGCATTCTTCTCATGGTCACATGTACTGTGTATGCCATCAAGACTCGGGGTGTCCCAGAGAATTTTAATGAAGCCAAACCCATTGGATTCACTATGTACACGACATGTATAGTGTGGCTTGCCTTCATTCCCATTTTTTTTGGCACTGCTCAGTCAGCGGAAAAGGTAAGTGAAAATGCACACCACACTGTGCATTTCAGAAATGTGTTTTTGTAAATACTGAAACCGAATCAATTGTACAGAGTGAGAAGTTTTATATCCTGAATTACTAGGCATCAATGCTATAGAAATCTAAAAACTGCAGGGAACTGTGCTATGTTCATTTCACTGGAAACCAATCAAAGGTAGCTTTTTCAAGTTAATTCATGATAGAATTATTCAATGTAGCAAGAGATTATCCAGTATAAAATTGTGTGATCTATCCAAATTAAACCTTCCTATGCATTCATTACCCACCTTCTCTTCTTATACATATGTTTCCTTGGGATAGGAGAAAAAGGCCACAATCCCTCATTAGGATGAGGATGGTCATTACTAGCTCTCTCTCACTCTTCTTAGTGACCATTTAGGCTGTCACTGTGGATTGGATCTAGGGTGTGAGCAAAACAATATATTAGAGTTGCCCATTGACATATTACATGTGTATGTATATATATAATAGATGAATATAGGAAGATTTTGGTTATCATTCCACCCTAGGCTCCCTAAAACTAGATGTACATGAATCACATCAAGTGATTCAGAGGGATACCAGAGACTCAACTTTCTAGCAGCGGGAGGGACAGTATGCAGTAGAGCTAGTGTCATCGAGCCTCGGAAGTTCAAAATTAGTGGGCCCTAACACGTTGTCCTAGACAAGGCTAGTGTGCATGCGCCCCCATATAGTTATGCATTTTTACAAATCTGTAAGTTAGGCAGCCCTATGTGTTGATTCTTAAAGCGATTAATGCATGTCTAGCTGTGGGTTTGACAGGCGTGCAAATTAGGCAAAACTAAAGCATTGATTCTAGATGAGATTCATACACGTCTGACTTTTATACTCACCTGGATATGGTTTTGTGTATATGCAAATGAGGCAGTTCTAATGTGTTGATCTTAATAAGATGTGTTGTCCTTCATTCAGTGAAGTCAGCTCTGACAGGGTGGTGCAGGGGAAGCCAGACCGAGGCCTAGAGCTCTAACTGGCACGCTGTCTCGGAGAGAGCACAGTTACGGCTTGATTAGAAGTTAGAACACAGGGAATCTAGCCTGATTCCATGTTACTTTGGAGAAGTCTACAAAACATTCAAGGACTTAGTCCCCTACATGAGGAAAGCAAGGATTGAAGTAGGAATCTCTACAAATTCACAAATCTGTGCCTCTAGGAATTAGTTGAATCTGAGTTTTTCATTGTTACTTCTGTTCTCATAGAATAATATAAATAATTAATGACATTTGACTGGTGTTGCACCTGAGAAGATGTCTTTCACCTAAATTATTTGATTCAGAAGCTATCAGTTTGGACTGTATGGGTTTTGGGGGCTTTTTTGTTTGTTTGTTTGTTTTAAATGAGTATCTCATAAAACCACAGAGAATTCTGCAACTAAGGACAGTGAGTGGTTCCAGATACGGTTTTAGTGTAAAGTGTCTTAGAGGAAGTTCTAAAATATATGCTCAACAAGCATAGTATGTTTCCAACAGTATATTTCAAATTCATAATGCATGTTTACTGTCTGTGAAACCAACTTGAATTGCATTTTATTGCTTCTATCTATCCCTGGGCCAGGGGAATAGTAAAATATGAGTTAGGGTAGTGAAATGCAATAGAGAGAAAAAGAAAAAGAATTTCCCAAATATATGCTGGTAAGTTGATAACCATTGAACTTTTTATGGGAAACGATGTGTACACAATCATCAAAGCCTATGAAGATAATAATATTTTTTTTTATTAAAACAAACACAATTGCCTATGTAACAGGTTAAAAACATTAAATCCTTTTCTTGTAAATTTATTCTTGGGGAATGCAAAAGGCAGGAATTCCTGCAGCTGTTTTGTAGATGGGTCTTGTAATGATACTTGACGATGTACGTGTCTACCATTTCATTTGTCATTTCTAGCCATTTCTAGTCATGACTATGAATCTTTTCAGTAAGGTCAAGTGTATAATTGACTCACTTAAAAACCTGAAAATGATGCAGGGTTTCAGGAATTGAATTCACTGATCCCAGTTGTTCTAGAAGGCTTTGAGCTGGTAGAACTGAATTACAGGAAAAAATTAAGCTGTCTTCAAGCAGTGTCCTTTGTATCCTAGAGTTGAGAAGACACATATTTTTTCTTTGTATACTCTCAATGGGTTTTGATGTTTTACATGGTTGATGGGCACAATTAAAGGTACTAAATTGCCAAATGGGAACAGTGAATTTTATATGGAAATTCACACATCTTAAAGATAGGCATATGGCTAGAGAAGCATGAGTGATAAATTAAAGATAGTTTTTGTACATGAAACCATGGAATTTAAATTGTGGAAGGTGGCAGATTGCCAAATGCAACAGAGATCACAGAAAAAGGCATCACTGCCAAGCTAGCAATATTCAGAATCACAGCCCTTACATTTTTATTTAGATCAAACAGTTTAAGTGTTTTAAGTGGAAGAATTCCATTGTAACAGGAAAAAAAAAAGATTAGGCAGTGAGTTCAGTAATAACTATTTACTGTGTTAGGAAATTGAGTTCATTCTGATTATGCTAGGTATATCTTTGTGAAATTTCTTATCACTTGAGTTCCTTAGCACAGCATAAAGGATGATAAATGTTTATTTTCTTGTGAAACATCAACACTCAGTATGTTTTTGCTTTTGTGAAGAAGGATGCAGGAGATTACAGTTATCTTGTTTTATTATTGCTAATCCTGTGATTTTTTAAAATGGGGATCATGCAGCGTGGTCAGGGATGGAAGAGGTAAACTTAAGCCATAAGAGAACGATCCTTGGTTTTAGGAATTCTATTTAGATGACTGAAATGATTCAAGGAAACACCGCAAATAGTAGAGTAGTAGCACGGTAGGAGTTATTAGCTGGTCTAGTGAAGTGGATAACTGGCAAGAGCTGTTAGAGGACTAGATTGTTTTCCATTAACACAAAGGCTTGGTTTGTGGCTTACGTATCTTTTTTGCATGCAGCCTGGAAAAGAGCATGCTTTAGGTAGGGAGAATACAAGCTACCCTCCCAAAGTCGGAGAAACCCTGCAGATGCTACGATTATCCAGATCTTTTTAGCCAGTTGTTGTCGGGAGAACTTTCTAGGTAAACCAGTGTACCAATTTTTTATACATGGATGAGGAGACAAGCTCTACGCCACTTGGCTCTGCGAAGGCAAAGTAGACCTTGATATAAAATGAGTGGAGTTGGAGGGTCTCAGAGGTCTTCCCTTCGGTGGCATATATGTTTGTTTGGGTAGGCGGTTGATGAAAAGAGGAGAAAGTAAAGGATTGAGGCATTTTCTGTTCAGAGAAAAAGGCTGGAAAAAGAGTAATGGCTTATAGGAAGGAGTATGTCTTCTGTAATGCCACCCGCAGTCCATTCTTCTGCACATAGCTGAATAGAACAGCATGAATTACAACACTTAAATAATTGGATTCTTTGATCTTCATTGAAGAATTATTCCACTAGGTGACAGAAGTAGGGCTACTGCTAGCAATCTCTGAACCAGCTCAGGGTCCTTAACTCTGTGGTTCTCAAAATTGTGTCCATGATAATCCCCATTGGAACTTGTTTTTAAATATTGCGTATCTGCCCCTCCCAACTGGTTCAATAAGGCAATAGGATGGACATAGAACTCTAGACTTTGTAACGAGCATGCTGGAAGGATGTCAGTGCAAACCAAGCATGCGTCTTAAAACTACTTGAGCATTTTCTTCCTAATCCACAGGATTACGAAATATGTCATATAAATATTTTCTGATCTCTAATTTTAGAGCCTTTAGGAATAAATTAATTCTCATCTCAAGCAACAGGGAGGTCTAGAGATCAAGGAACCAGGAGATCAGAAAGACATTATTCACAGTCAAAGACAAAGTCTAGACTTAGAAGGTCTGAATGAAGTGTCAACTCCAAGGTTATGGCCAGAGACCTTACAAGGCAGGACCAAGGCATGGACCCTGCAACCAGAGGTAGCAGGAGGACAGGCAGAATGTTTCCCAAGAGTATTTCTAGGGGGTTTGGACTATAAACCAACATTTTGGTTGTCCACATGTAGCAGATAGCTCCCCAGAATCTGAACACAAAGCAAACCAATCTAGGACTGATATTACAGATCAGAAATATTTGGCAGGTAGGTAAACATTTCCTAATCCATGCCCTAGGCAGACATTGGTAATCAATTACAGTGAGCTTCCCCTGAACCCAGGTGAGGTTTTGAGCTATTTGTTGACTTCGTGCAAGAGCCATTGGGTGCCTTTCATTAAAATTAATTGGCTTAAATATAAAAGAATAGGGAAATGGGAATGCGCTTGAATTAGTCTCTAATTCATCTCTGATTACACATCTCTTAAAGTTTCAAATGCCATACAGAAAGGAGCAGTCCTAGCTCTCTTCGGGAGTAATATTTTCAAACCAACTTTGAATAGTGTGAGGCATGCTGTAGTTGTCACACAAGGAATGCAGGACAGACACCCGGAAACAGGAACTCCACTTCTGCTTTATGGAAAAGTGACAAGTGGACTGAAGTTACCAGGCAGAGGAAGTGCTATGATAACCCAGTGAGAAATTACATCCCATGTCAAAAGTAGGGGGTGGCATTTTCACCACATGGTACAGAGACTGAAGACACAGATTGCGTTTAATGCAACTTTGACTCTTGAAAATATGAGGGTGTAAGAATAAAATCTAATAAAACTGCATTTTATGGGAAAACTTTAAAACAGCGTGAACCCCAACATTTCATTCCCAAATTAAACTTTTGGCAAGAATACCATCTTTTCAAAGTGACGGACCAAGTTAATTTTAAATACTACAGCTTATAAGCTGAAATACCTGCTTTCCTTTCTCAGGCTGATATTTTCCCTTATGCTTATGTTGAATTATGCAAGGTCTTCCCTCTGATGCAATCCCCCCCCTCCCCGATTTTGGAGGCCTGGGCCCTATGACAGAGATAATGATGCAGTGAGGAGCAACAAATCCAAATTAT